TTTTTTTTGAGTTGGAGTCTCACTCTGTAGCCCAAACTGGAGTGCAGTGGCCGCTCCCGGCCACCGCAGCCTCGACCCGCTGGGTTCCAGCGATCCTTCTGCCTCAGCCTTCCGAGTAGCCGGAATTACAGGCATGCGCTACCACGCCCGGCTGATTTTTTGATTTATTGTAAAGATGAGGTCTTGCTGCCCAGGCGGGTCTCGAACCCGCGGGCTCAGGCAATCCACTCACCTCAGCCTCCCAAAGGCACGGGATTACAGGCTGAGCCACCGAGCCCGGCTCATTGAGTGCTTTTTATTTGATTTAATCATGTATTTTAAACCATTGATGCATACTAAATGATAAAACCACATTTTAAAGACCGAACTTCAAAATACGTGTAAAATGTTCCCATGTTCCACTTATCCAAATACTTGATTCCCACCTGAAATTGGAGATAGATATCATTACCTCTCAGAATAAGCTAAATCTTCTTTTTTTTTGAGTTGGAGTCTCACTGTTGTCCAGACTGGAGTGCAGTGGCATGCGCCCAGCTAATTATTGATTTATTGTAGAGACGAGGTCTCGCCAAGTTGCTCTTGTGGGTCTCGAACCCGTGGGCTCAGACAGTCCCTTGCCTCGGTCTCCCAAAGTGCTGGGATTATAGGCTGCATCACTGAGCCCGGCAACCTTCTCATTTTTAAAGCCTACTATCATTTTATTTTATAATTCATTTTATTTTACTCTTGGAGATAGGTGATTAATTGGTTCTAAAAGGCCATCTTTGGGTCATAGGCCTGAGAGGCAGAGTAAGTAAACAGTAATGTATTCACCTAGTTTGATGAATTAAATCACTGAGAACTTAAAATCATCTGTAAGACTTACCCGCAGTAAAGTGAACTTAATCACAGTTTCTACCTTCTGAATCCATTTTTGGGCTCTCCATTATCTAGGGTAGTGTGGTATTACTGACTCATAACCAGTCTTAGGCTGTTTTCTTGGCCTCCTTTCTCCCCAATGTCTGGAGTTCCCTTCATTTCTTACCACACTTTCATTTTGGTGTGATTTTTTCTTTTTTTTTTTTTTTTTGAGATGAAGCATTTACCCATCTTTTTGGTGTCAGTTGCTGTTTTATAAACTTCCTTTTCCTCAATCAGAGATGAAAATGTTAACCTAGGACTAACTGACCAGGTCACCAGCTGTTGCTAAATAAATATTAGGTGACTCCTTGTGTTGACACTTCATACACTGATCACCATTCTGTTCTCCAGAGTTAAATGCCCCCTCATATGGTCTGGACTGTATTTTCCCTGTATATTGATGATTATGTAAATACTCAGTAAACGTAAGATCTAGACGCCTTGCTAAAATTAAGAGGATAACTTCTCCTTGAAGTTATCTCCTCCATGAAAGAAAGCGATTACATTCATTTGACCAGACATATTCTTCACAAAGCATGTTGACTATTACTCTGTAGGTGGCTACAGATGGATTTTGAGATTGTTTTTCTTAGGTGTAGAAGTACATTTTGAAGTAAATTTACATCCCTCTTCTCTAGTAAAAAAAACAAAATACAACGAAGTGGCCCTTTTTCAGTCTTCAAAACTTTTTGTTCCCTTAGTAAGAAGTGGTGACTGACCGCACTGTGATTTCAATCAACTAATTTAATGTAGTTGTTTCTCTTGATTATTTATTATCCTGGAGAACGAAAGTCTTCAGGGCCATCTTATGTAAGCGTGTCGGGTTAATCACTTCATGCCTGATTTTCTGTGCTTCCTTAGTGCCTTGCCCTTATGGCTGTTGGGCTTCCTCTTTCCTTACTTGACATATTGAATTGTTGGAAGTAGAGTTAATGGAAGCTTTTTTTTGTGCACCTCATCAGTGAACATCTGCTTTCCTTTCTCTCTTTTTATTTTGTAGATTGGGAAAAATAGTTTATTTAGAAGTTGATGAGAGAGAAAAGGTTAATCCACCACTCCAAGATGGAAAGGGGGCCAGATCTTAAAGTGTGGCATCCCTTTCTCTTTGATAAAGAGATAGCATGTTTCTTGGTCTTTCTGTCAGTCCGTTTTTTTCCACATTTATATCCGTTTTATATAGATATTTTTAGATTGGGTTTTCAGATGTCAGGAGAGTGGAAAGCTATGCTGGGTAAGAATTCAGGCCTGGGTTCCAGATTCAGGACTTTCACTGACTGTGTAACTTTCGACAAGTCACTCAGGCTCTCTGACCTTCCGTTTCCTCATCTTCTAAATGAAGACATTCCTTTTAAGTCATATCCTGACCTATATTTCTCATATCCGTGTTCTGTATTTCTAAATTTATACCTCGTGTTTTCACTATTATTTGTGCTTCTCAATGTCTTCCTGCTCTTACTAGATTTTGCATATGATTTGCCACTAAAATTTATTCATATTTACATAGATTTGGTAATACAGAGCTACGGTGCTTTCATTAAAAAGCACTAGAGTAGGAAATGTTTCAGAATTCTGAGCTCTTCAGATTTAAGATAGGTAATATGGTATCTCTCCTCTATTTGTTTCATAACCCCAAAATCAAACACGTTGTATTTCAGCATCATATTAAATGGGATATATAAAAACTATAAACAGCTTTGTATCCTTTTAGGCTAGATTTACCACCATCAATGTTATGACCGTAAGCTTAAAAAAAAAAAAAAAAAGGCAACAAGTTGGTTGTTAGAACTGTTTTGATTTTGGAACTGGCTTATGTGCCAGTCATATTTTTCTGCTACTGCTGGATTGATTATTTTATAACTTGTCATATTACCTGTCTGGTTTAAGTGTTATGTCTTACTGAAAATTTTGAGGTCTACTTTTCTAGTTTCTACACTTTCCTTATAATCTAGAAACTAGTTTTTGCTGACTTTCATCCAAGACTGCTTTTGCCTTGAGAGCCTGCCTAACTTTTCTGTGTTTATACGAATCAAAACCACATTGCCTTCCTGCGAAATCCTGGCCTCCTGTAGACAAATCAGTTACCCTTCATGCTGTGTCCCGGAGAATCCCAGCCCAGTTCAGCCCTGCCTCAGTGCCAGGGCACTGTTAACCAGCCTTCAGTTTGCAATTTGCTGACCCTCACTCTTTTTGCCTCTTGTAACGTTGCTGCTATATTCCAATAATGCCACAAGATGGTGCCCAAATAGCAGTGAATGTCTCTTTCTTACATTTCCAAGTGTCAGTCAGCTTCATAACCAATGTCTTTGCCCTTAAAGCACAAATATAGTTTAGGAATTTTGTAAGGCATTCTGCTGCTTTGGAAAGATATGTCAGCTAGCAAGTGTTAACTTTCAACTCACCTTGATTTCTGTCAATCTTCCTGGTTCATGACTTGCAAAATCTTTACAGGCATTATCAATCTGGAAGGAAACATTTAGGCTCATCATCTGTGATTTAGGCTTATCACCATTTTATGGTGTCAAGATAAATGACTGGCCATGCAATTAGCACTGCTGTTGTGGCACCTAACGTGCATGGGCCACCAGACTGTGTGTGTGATCTGCATGGTCTGTATAGGTCTTGGTGAGAGTGTTAAATGGAGAACCAAGCTTCTGTATTAAAAATTCAAGGTAGAGTAACCAGATTTGTATTGCTTTTGTTTTAGAAATAGTCCTTAGTTTTTCTTCATTATATGTTGTCATTTTCCACATTGGGATTGTATATTCAGATTTCTGGCTCCTACACATGCCTTGGAAGTACTGAAATTTAGTTTGCCTCTGAAGTATTTTCCCAGTAAGGTTGTAGAGAAGGAGGTATGAGTCCAGCCCAGGGGCCCCCATTTCCATTTAAGCAGTGAGGTAGAAGAAGAATACTGGTATATATTCTTGATCCCTGTTGGAATATTTATAAATATTAGTAAACTGGAAATAATGGACAGTTATGCTGAGGCACTAAACAGTTGAACACTAGAATTAAGATAAATATGTATTAACAAGACTAGAATCTGGCTTCTGCTAGATTCTGACTTACACCATATGCTTCTCGTTTCTGTTAGCCCTAAATCTTTCTCTTCTTATTATATAGTAATAAATCTAAAGACCTGTGGTGTCATTTCCACTTACAAAAGCACTTGGAAAGTTAAAGGTATTAACTCTAGGATCAGGTAAGAGAAACCAGGATGTCTACTTGTCTCATGGTTAAAGTTTGCCTTGTAATTTGGATTAAAGGAAAGTCACTGGTCATGTGAAGTGTACAGCCATGTTTAATTAACACTGTTGTTGTTTACAGAGAGAAAACGGTTGGAAGCCAAGCAACGGGAAGACATCTGGGAAGGCAGAGACCAGTCTGCAGTTTGAATGTCACTCAATGAGAGGGATAACGCCAGGAATCAGAACATGTTTCCATAGTCTTCGGGTGAGAAGATCCTTCCAGAGCTCTGTGTGTACATGCAGATGTGCATGTTAAAGAGACCAGAGCCATCGAGACAAGGACTGACTGGGTGTAGAAAGAAGACAGACTCCTGTCTTCACTCCTGGGTGCTTCACTCCTAGGTGCAGTTCTTTGGAATCTCCCCCACAGTGGTGGGCATGGTAGGAAGAAATATGGAAGATGTGACTTTCAGGAGTCCTGCATGGGGCAAGTTTTGTTAGCGGGGATCATGCTTCCAAGACATTCAAAGCAAACACAGAAAAGAGCTGAGGATTCAGACCTGCAGCGATGGGAGACACAGGCCCTGCCAAGGACCTCACAAAACAGAACAGCAGCACTGGGGGAGGGAGGGCTGGGGCGGGAGCAGCTGGTGCAGAGAGACAGAACAGGTCTGGTGTGCTTGGCACATGCAGGATCTACACTGCGGGTTCTGGAACGCCAGAGCTGGAAACTGCAGCGGATATGGGAACTTAGACTCCAGGGCTTGTCGCGCGCCTGGGGCCTGAGGCCACTCCAGCCACACAGCAGCCAGGGCATGCCAGCTTCGTCCTCGTCGGCAGCCGGCGTGGGAACTAGGTGCCAGCTCCAGTGTCAGCGGTGACACTGTGTTGTAAGAGGGAGCCATTAAAGCCCATTTTGTGACACACATCACTCTGGCATTTGTCATTTTTGTCATGCCCACAAAGAAACAGGAGCACAGCTCCCTTCTTATCTTCTCTCCTGTAGTGCTGTGCATGGGTTAATGGATCTGTTGCTCGTGTTGACCCCTAGGGAGTAGAGCGCTGCTGTCTCTGCCTCAGAGCGTACTGCAGAAGGCACTACCTGGAAGTGGCATGGGGAAGCTCCTGTCCCCCTGTGTGCCCCCACCCAGCCTCTTTCTTGCCTTTTGCCATCTCTGTCGAATATGACATCCTGCAGAAGACATCTGGCACACAGCACGCTCTTGGTACGATCCTCTCAGCCTGTGCCAAAGGCACTTGGCACACAGCACCAGCTCGTCGGTTACAGTGACCCGCAGCCAGGATGCAAAACACCTCTGGGCAGCGGGGGCCTTCCTGAAGGACACAGACAGGACTGAGCCATCGGCTCAGGCTTTCTCCATGCCAGATCTGTGCTCCCAGTGCTTTTGGAGGGCAGTTCTGCTCTGGTGGTGGCCCTAGCCCTTACAGTGCTGACGTGGCCAGAGTGTCCCGTGGCACTCCTCGCCGGGGCGGCAGCCTTGTTTTCTTCCGACTTAGTGCCCCTGACCGTGATGGATGATTCGCATTGCCCAGAGCACGGTGGGCTGGGGCTCTGTTCGGCCGTTTTCAGATGACACTGGCCTTGGGTCCGAGTCCTGACCCCGCTATCCCTGCCACTGTTCAGGTCTTAGAGCCCTCACGGCTCCTCGGAGTTGTTTTCTCGTTCTTGGTCGGTTCTGCCAGTGTCCCTTGTTCATGTCCAGTGACTCCATGCCAATTTGGGAATTAAATAAGTCATTCTCTTGACCTTTCCACTCGTCCTCTATCTGAGTGCCCCTCTCTTTGCCTGGAAGCTGCAGGACTTGTGCTGTCTTCATGGGACAGACTTCTCTAAGCCAGGCAGGTCTCTTTGAACAGTGTGACTGCATTTGAAAGGAGATGCAGGGAGCTGCAGCCAGACTTTTATGCTGAATGGTATACCTCTGAGGTATGCCTTCACTATTTTGAGTCTTCAAGACAAAGACTGACCCTTGGCCATAAAAACGAGATGACCGCTACTCTCCCTTGCCTGGGAGGGGGCTTCTCCTTTCTGGACCGCGTTTTAGCTTTTAAGGACATGGCTGATGGTAACATACAGCCCCTATGTTATTACCCAGTTCTCTTGTAGCTCTCATACTCTCAGGAAGTTACTTGGGTTCTCATTCTAATGCTGTCTACCCAGTAGCCTATCCTTTTTTTCAGCCAACCATCAGCCACATCTAACTTTCAGATTTAGCCATATAACCAGCCTAGAGAAAGGATTTTTCTTTTCAGCCAACACCTGAAAATGACAGAGCGCTGCTGCTGCTTCTACCATCAGTAGAGAATGTGCTTCTTAATTCTGTCACCCCAGTAGTTGGAACTGATGTGTGTTAGCTAGAGGTAAGACAAGGTCCTGCTGGTGGCCCAGTTCAGACTCTCTCCAGCGTGTCCAGATGGAGATGAAATTCTTGGCTGCGTCTAAACCATGCCTCCCAAGCAAGGTTAGTTGGAGAGCCCCAGACAGCTGCCACGGCTCCTTTGCTAGATAGCCCAGAAGACAGCTCATGCGCTCTGCCGTGTGTGTATGTTGGACATCTAAAGCTCAGGATTACCTGGAATTTAGTAGAAAGGTACATTCCCCATGAGTTCTGATACTCTTCATAGAGTGAAAGTCTTTGTAGAATAAAGGTAAATGAGGCTTCTGAAGCGTAAGCCGGGGTTCTTAGCAGTTTAGTTTCTCTGAAGCTAAAGTATGCCGCAGTGAACGTCGTCTTCTGACGTTTTTGGTTCTGTCTGGAATTTGGTGGTTGGTGTTCTGTTGACATTCCTCATCTAGTTATAAGTCATGCCAGCCACCAGTCTTCCCATGTCCTTCCCTTTCAACTCAGAGGTGGAACAGCACAGCCCTTGTCTAGCTTTTCCAAGAATGAGCACTGGCTGCTCCTATCAAACGTGTGATGTGGGCAGTAAGACTGAGCCAGAGCCTGTGGCCGGCTGCCTGGCCTGCTTTCCCGGGCCCTGCTGGAAACTAGATCCAGCGAGAGGCTGTGGGTAACCTCCCTGCCTGGACCTGGTCGTCAGCACCCCCCGCTCGCCGCGCACTGCACATTCCTTCACAGACCATTAGCTGCATGTGTGAGCATAATGTCTTACTGTTTGGGGGATGCTTGCTGGGTCCAACAGGAAATCAGTCCTTCCCTTGTTTACCTCAACGGCCGGGCCAAAATATAATGCTCCCTCCGCCTAATGAGGAAGAGGAGGGAGCTGAGGAGAGAAGGTCGGGGAGAAGGGAGAAAGTGCTTCTTTGTATTCATAGAGGTACCCCAGAACATGTCCCCTCTGCCTCCCCAAGGAGGGGGCAGCAGGGAGAACTGCGGTAGATCTGCTCCATCCGCTGCCATTTGTTCTGGCTCTGCAGCCTTGGTTACCAGATTTTACAGTCCGCAGACTCGACCTTCTTGCCCTAGCCCTCGTCCCTTAACCTTTCCCACCCGTGTTTCGGCACCGAGCCTGAGGAGGGCGGCTGGGAAGTGGACAGTCAGCTCATCTCTACTAGAGAACTGTAGCGGGGCTGTCGGGCATGGTGCGCGTGCCCCTTGTGTGCTGGTCCCTGGCTCAGCGGGACTGAGGGGCGAGTGAGTGTGCCCGGAAGCGAGGGTAATCACGGCGAGGCGCGTCTTGGCAGCAGTCCACAAGGAGGAACCTTTATTGGCACTGGGGGGTCAGGGTGGAAGGATCACCGCGTCACATGTCTCAGTGGAAAAGGTCAAGAACAGTGTCAGGAAGGCCCTGGGCTTTCACACTGCCTGAGCAAGAGCACTTGCAGCCACATCACGCCGGGGTGGCAGGCGGCCTTTGCCAGGTTCTTGTCTTAACTGAACGTCCCCTTCTGATTTCTCCATGGTCTTCTGCCCTCATTCTACCAGGCCTGTCTTCATACTTCTGTAGAGATGAGTAGCTTGGTTGACCGATGTTCTTTCCGTGGCAAAAATATGATCTATGCAGCGTTCACTGTAGACACTCGGCTGAGACCTGAAACGGAGGCCAGTCCTGAGATGCGTGGTGACCCTGAGGGAGACTGGATTGCCTGCCAGGTAAGTGGCACGTGTCTCTTGCTTGGCAGAGGCCCCAGCAGGAGCTGGGTCCATGTTACCTCAGCATCCTTCTGCTCTGCCCACCTCCGCTGCTCTACAGGAAGGCCCCATCCAGCCACTTCTGTGAGACTTGCCCCTTCCCAAGCATTCATTAACGGCGGCGTTGGCCCATCAGGTGATCAGGGGTGCCGAGGCCCCAGCCTCCAGGGGTGTTAGAAACACTCAGGTGTGCGGGAGGATGGAAGCAGGGATGCTAGCGAACAGACTCAGAGCAGAATGAGAAAGGTGAGTTCCAAGTGAGGGCAGAAGCAGCCAGGGACTGAGCCCACCAGATTCACTTGTCACTTGCGACTTGGACACAAGTTGTGTTGCTTTGAGCTCTAGCAGAGAGCTAACCCCACCTGCCGTGTGGTTTGATCCTCTCTCCTCTACTCCTCCAGGACATTGGCGAAGCACCACTTAGACCGGGCACTGGGCCAGAGTCCGTCCCTAAGGAATGGAGAGCTCCCGAACCCAGGCAAAATCCAGGAGAGAACTGGGTCTCCTTATCCGAGCAGGCCTGGAGGCCATACTCCAGGCACAGGCCCCAGGGGACAGGCCGGGCGCCAGCCCGAGGGAGCAGTGCCACCTGGGTGGGCGGTCTTGCCGTCAGAAGGCTTCCTGAGCAGGTTCTTGGTACCTCCGGGGCACTGGCCCACTTCCTCAGAGTCGGGGCGCAGAGGGCACGGCTCTGACGGGCTGAGGTATCTGGTGTATGAGCGGCAGCTGGGAGTGCAGAGGCGGCTTCAGATCAGGTTGTTTCTGAGGCGCTCTTCCTGCTCCAGGGCAAGCTCTGTGCTGGCTGGGTACGAATCCCCTGCGGGCCAAAGGAGAGCAGGTCAGGCTGCAGACCAGCCCTACCGAGGTCTCACCCCGTCCTGACAGCTTTGTGCCTGCAGGTCATCTGCCCCGCTCTGCCTTCTCCTCAGGTCTGTCTGGGGCACAGGCACCAGTCACTCTCTGGAAACAGGCCCCGGACAGGCGTGGGGTCTCAGGGCCATCAGGAAGAACAGGCAGTTGAGGGGAGAGGGTTGGGCTGGGTGTTCTCCTTTGTGCCACCCCTCCCCACTCCCGACTCACTCTCCACCCTTTAGCACGTAGGTACCCTGGGAAACTGGCCCCTAGAGATGACATCACTTGGGTTCCCTGGTCTTCGGGTTTCTGGTCGAGTTAGGTCAGTGGGCAGCAGGAGGTAGGAGGGTGAAGGAGAGCGGCCGGGCATTTCTTCCCTGCTCTGGCCCTGCAGTTCTGCCGCGAGGGTCTAGGGCTCCTGCTCCAGCCAGTCACCCTCCTCCTGCACTTTTACCTGCTCCAGGATAGCCCTGCCCCTTGAGGCCTAAAGCAGGTAGCAGCTGTCCACTCTTCTCAACACTGGATATCGGCATCCCTCACTTCCTCAGTCCTTGCACACCTGGACACAGCCCTTTCACTAAAGAGCCTGGTGTGCCTTCTGCTCTCTGCAGGGGCCCTGCCGGGCCTCTGCATCCTCTTCCTGGGCCTCCTCACTGGCCTGGATCCCCTGCAGCCTCCTCCCGCATCGCGGAGGGTCTGCTGTCCCCGTGTGCAGCCTCGGATCCCAATTCCTGAGCCTCTCATCTTCCTGCCTCATGGAACGGCAGCACAGCCTGCTGAGTCACACAGGTCTGAACCCTTACACTGTTCTTCCTTCCTCTGTTGCCAGAGCTATTTTTTGAAAACATAAGTGATCTTTTGCTTCCTTGACTGAAACCTGTCGGTTCCCAGAAGCCCACAGGATAAAGTCCACTCTCAGAACTATCGTAGCCCTCCCTGCCTAGGACTTCAGTCCTTAGTAGGTTTGAAGTGCACCGCTGCATTATCCAAAAGAGAAAACTGCACAGATAAGGATTCCCTCGCCGTTTTCCAGCTCAAAAGCGGTGGGATTGGCCTGGGACCCAGGGGAGCCCCTGGAGCCCAGCCCTATGTGCTTCCTCCTCCTTGGACTGCTACCCCTCCTTTGAAACCCGGGTCCAGCGTCACCTCTTCTGTGCAGCCTCCCCGGCCCCAGCCACTGGTCGTTCTCTGCCTGCTCAGCTCTTACTCCCTGCCTGTGTGGCGTACCAGTAGTCCCGGGCTGCTGCAGGCGTGCAAAGCCTTCTTGGTCCTGGGCTCCAGGTCTTACACTGGCGTTCCCAGTGTCTGGCGCCGTGTCCAGGCGGTAGGCCCTCACCCATGCATGTTACCTGCGTGGACAGCGCCGCCCGCCCCCCCCCCCCCCCCCCCACACAAGCTGTGCACAGTAAGTACAGGCTCATTTTACACCTGAAGATCAAGGGTGTCTTTACTGACACTTAAGCAACCACCTCCTCTCTCTGCCCCTGCTGGGTCATGCTACTTCCTTTGATCTTATCAGTCCTGTAAGTGTCCCTGTTCTCTGTGGTCCCCTTCTTGCAAGCACCGATCACAGCTGGAGACCGCCACACGGGGCAAGGGGACTTCTGCATTTGCCTGGGAGGCAGTCAGCTTAGGATGGGGGGCAGCTGAGAAAGGCCACGCTAAAGAGAAGGGAAGAAAGATCCCGACGTGGCTTGAGGTGGCAGGAAGGGCTCCAGGACAGACTGGAAACTGTTCACCAACAGCCGGACGTGCCAAGAGGGAGGGAGGAGGAGGGGTGGCTGGGTGATGCTGGTGGTCTGAGTCATCCTAGAGATCTGCCCGTGCGGATGGCCAAGAAGTTCGCCCTGTTCCGTCCCTGGCCTACACACACACACAACACACACTCCCACTCACACACACACCGCTCGCGGAGGCAGGGTGATTTAGCGTCTTCCTGGCCTGCCCGCGCGGCTCACGGTTACCTGTGTGGCAGTTGTGCAGCCAGACCCGGTGCCCATCATACTTGCAGCGGCACTGCATCATGTTGTTGGAGAAATCCGACTCGGCCACCTCGTATTTGGGGTTCACAACCACCTGGGGCGAGAGGGGCCGACGGGACAGGGGTGACTGGGTCTCTGAGTCCCTTACAGCTCATGTATTTTACAAAGCGCGTCTCTACTCTTGGCTTCATTCATACTGTCACCCCAGGAGGTAAGCATGGCAGATGGGGACGGGGAGGTCACGTCTGAAAAGTGGGGACGTGCCCAGAGTTCAGAGTCAAGACTCAAGCCCGGTCCTTGGGACCCAGGAACACGGCTCCTGCAGGTGACTGGCTTGTCAGAAGCTGTGAGCTCTCTCCTTGTGTCGTCAGGGAAAGCCTGGGGTCATCTGGAGTTCCAAGGGGCTCTGTGGGCATCCCCCCGCTCTCACCTGGAAGATGTAGTCCCCGGGGCCCACGTCCGTGATGTCCACCCACTGGCAATCGATGTCATGCCGGTAGGTGTCCCAGCAGCCTACGGTCACGCCCTGCTCCCCAAAGTTGGCGCACGCATAGCGCCGCTGCAGTCCTGGAGGGAAGGGGGCAGACACCCGGGTATTCAGGCACCACCTAGGTACTCAGGACGAGCACTCTGCTAGGTCTCTCGGACGTCACCATCTCATCCTACCCTGCTTCACCAGTTCCGAGTCATTGTGCCCACTTCACCAACCAGGGCCCTGAGGTTCGCTTCAAGCTCTTGCCCGAGACCCTTCTGACTAGGCGTCCAGCACTGCGGCAAGCCACATTGGTGACAAGGAGACTATTTGGATGTGCTCACGGACATCTCTTGGGCCAGGAGTGTGGTTGGAAGATTCCAGCCTGCTGTGCTAATTCATTTGTCCACCCCTCCCTCCCTCATCCACCCAACCCTCTAAGGACCAGGGTTTCCATGCTGTTCCCAAGGGCTGAGGACTGTGGGTTTGCAGACTGGAATCTGGTCTTGCCCCTGGGGAGTGCAATTGGCGTCCCAGAAAGTGCTTGGTGCCTCAACAGCAGGACTCAAAGGAAGTAAGCCTTCTGCCTGCGATTTCAGAAGGTAAGAAAGGCTCTTTTCTTTTCTTTTTCTTTTTTGAGTTGGAGTCTCACTCCGTCATCCAGGCTGGAGTGCAGTGGCTCGCTCATGGCCACCCCAGCCTCGACCTGCTGGGCTCCGGCGATCCTTCCTCCTCAGCATTCCAAGTAGCTGGAACTACAGGCATGAGCCACCATGGCCAGCTAACTTTTTGATTTATTGTAGAGAGGAAGTCTCGCCAATTGCCAAGGCTGTTCTCGAACCCGCAGGCTCAGGCAATCCCTTCACCTCGGCCTCCCCAAGTGCTGGGATGACAGGCTTGAGCCACTGCGCCCGCCAAAATGGCTCTTTTCTAACTGCCTTGAGTGCGAACTCCAACCCGGGATCTCCAGGTGACTGGGGCTCTTGGGCGGAGGGGAACCTGGTCTCCCAGAGGGGTAGGGAAGGAGAGCAAGAGGAGGATAACAAGGGGTGTCAGGCGAGGAGACTGACGTCACCAGGTGTGCTACGATGCCGGCCGGCGGCCTCGTACCTGTGGGGCAGTTTGTGTCCTCGAGACAGAAGCTGGCTTTGTGCCCCTCGGCCACCTTGGAGCCGTTGAGAGTCAGGAGGTCATAGTGCGTGAAGACCTCGATGCTGTGGTAGTGCCTGCAGGAGAGGCAGAGCCGTGAGCCGGGCGCGGCCAGGGGGAGGACCGAGGCCAGGGGAGGACGTGGCCGAGGCCCAGCGCTACCCGAGAGGAAAGCCGAAGAGCAGGACAACCCTTCCCTCCTGCACCCAGGACGTGTGAGGCCCGCAGCCTGCTCTGTCTGCACCCCTGCCAGGCAGCATGGCACAGCTGCCCTGTCGTCCGGGGTCTTGGCCTAGCCCCGGCAGCCTCCAGGGTGCCTTCCCGCCAAGGACCCGCCTCGGTGCTGAGCTGCTGGGGCGCCCGCGCTCAGCTCCTTGTCAGCCTGGGACCAAATTGCCACCATTGTTTCCAGTCCCGCTGTAATGACAGCTCTGTTCATGCTCCAGGGAAAGGTGCTTATTATCTCAGGCAAGGCCGAGTCTCAGAGTCGGTGCCTGTTCCGCAGCCTTCCGCACTGCATCCTGAAGAAAAATTTCATTCTGCCCGTGTCATGAGCACGGTGTCCCTCTCCCGGGCCTGGAGGCCCCTGATAGGGAAGGGTGCTCATTGTCCCTTTTGTGCACGGACCATTCGTGCTGTTCTGGGCCTGGCCTTGCTGCTGCGGGACCTGGCCAGCTGATTCTGCAGAGCCAGCATCCTGGCGGGATGTCTGTTTTGGGCCTGCAGGTCTCCGGGAGTCCTCATTTCACCTGGCCTCTGGAGACAAGGCCTGTGGTCCCCTGTCGGGAAATGGTCAACTACATCCCAACGGGGACCAGCAACTTCCCTGTGGGATGTTGCCATGGGAAGCACCCCACGAGCACCATCTACAGGGAGAAGGTGGAAAAGATCGAGGGGGCAGGTGGCCGCCTGGGGTTTCCTCACTGCCTCCCTGCAGGCAAGGCCTCTAGGCATCTAGAAAGGGAGATTTATCCCGCGCACACACCCCTCCAGGAAAGCGCCCGAGGCCAGGGAAGTGCCAGACCGCTTGGCCCCGGACCCTGCTTTTTGCCCCTAACTCTCCAGTGCCAAGGTGTGGGCGGGCACTCACCTGTGACACTGGTGCCAAATCCAGCTGTGGCGGCCTGTCTTGGGACGGAAGTCGGCCCGGCCCAGGTTGTAGATCTGCGTGGAGAAGCGTAGCAGGCGTCGATGTCCGTAGGGCCAGTCCATGCGGTCGGCCGACTGGGACAGGCAGTTCTCCTCGTGGGCGCAGTACAGCTGACTGAGCGGCCGGTCCTCCAGGTAGGCTGTCTCCTGCACCAGCTGGGCGTTCATCACCAGGTCTGGAGCACCTGGGGCAGCAGAGGGCACGGCAGTGACCGGGCCAGGAAGGCCACCGACCTGCTCTCCACACAGAGGACAGCCTGGCCCCAGACCACGCCCTCCGGGAGGACCCCAGCACAGATGAGCAGGATAAGAGTCAGGAGATGGGAGTCCTGGTAACGAAAGGAAGCGTCTAGCGCCGTCGGCTACAGAGGCTCGGTTAAGCTTGCCGACTTTGGAGCCAGGCCGCCTGTGCTCGTTCTTGGCTTAACTCCTGACTATATGGTGGACGATCTCTTATCTCTCCTCATCATCCGTGAGATGGAGATGGTAACAGTGACACTAACGTGACAGTACCTGAGATGTGCTTACACTGATCGGCCTGTAGCGAGCACGCAACTGGTACAGGCCGGCCCTTCTCTCATGAGGTGCTTTTAGGCTGTGCTGATGTGTGGCTTAGCTCGCATCCCCTGGAGATCTGCTCATGCCTCACTCGTATTTTGTGCCTGAACTGGCACTAAAAATGCCCTCGGGGTCCTGGGGTGTCCGTGCGGGACCCCAAAATCCCTGAAATGTATTTATAAAAAAATGCATATTCTCGCATGTTTAAACCTCAGTCACCTTCAGACTCCTCTCTGCTGGGTGCAATACACCTATCAAGACACTCTTTCCACTGCTTAGAACTGGTTTTGGACTCAGCAATGCTGATGTCAGAGCGTCTGCCGTTTTTTGTTTTCTCTCTTCCACATCGACAAAACATTCCCCTTGGAGGACTTTTTTATCCAGGGAAACAAACGCTGCTCAGGGCAAGACTGGGGGAAGAGGGAGGGTGGGGCTCGGGGGTCATACCGATTGGGGTCAAAAACTGCTGAACACTCAGCGCGGTGTGGGCAGGTTGATCACGTAAGCCTCCCGTCACGAAATGGGCAAACGTGCTGAAAGCCTCGCCAAAAGAAATTCACTGAGGCCGAACGCAGCCTCTCACAACAACACTAGCGGGTACACTGATACCGACGGGTTCAGCGTTCCTAGAACACATCACTGGCCGGGGGAAGCCCGTCCCACAAGAGGCTCGCCCTCCAAAAAAATAATTCTGTTTTCTTGGGTCCCCTCGTATGTTGGAAAGTGCCAGGAAGTGCCCATTGAGACAAGGGGAAGGAGAGCAAGAGTAAAGAAAGAAGTGACAGCAGCCAGGAGAGCAGGGACGGTCACAGTGGCTGCTGGGGCGGCCTCTGCAGGCAGCCAGCAGGGATGGGTCGAGGTTCCCAGGAAGGGGAGTGGGGTGGCAGCAGCCCCCACATGCTGGAGGCCTCGGTACTGGAGTCCCACTCTGAGCCCCCTCACTCTACCGGGCGTGATGGGTGGGCCCGGCTTCTTCCGATGCCCTGGACAGAGAGGAAGCCGGGCGCTCACTGACAAAGGTGAAGGAGGTCTTGGTGTTGAGGTCTGGCCAGGAGGAAGGTCAAGTGGCCACTTGGGTTGGTGCCGGCCTGTGGCCTTGGGGCTGGATATAGTTATCTTGGCACAGCCTCGCTGGCAGAAGTCAGTGCTGCTGCCTGAAAGGCTGGGCCGTGGGACAGAGTGGTGCCGCAGCTGGCCTGGACCCAGCGCCTTTCGGGTAAGTCCCGCAGCCGGCCCGGGCCCCAAGGGCACCTCCCATCCACGTGTCCCCGCCAGCAGCTCCCAAGTGCTCTTACAAACCATAGTGACACATGTCCCTTGGGTTGGAGCCCAGGACGCACATGCACAGATGCCCTGGCTTGGGGCAGTGCATTCTGACGCTTTCCATTCTGTCCCGTTTATAAAACTGTAGGTCACGGCCCTGACATTGAAACACGGTTCCAGCCCTGCACCTCACACATGCTGGGTTTTCTTTCTCAGCCTCCCATGTGGTGGGGGTGGGGCCTGCATCTGGGTGGGACAGGTGCTTCAGCCCCACCTCTGGGAAACGGCAGCTGGCCTTTCACTCCCACCCTGCCGGCCTGGCGCTGGCCCGCACTCGGGGCCCTCCCAGGGGGACGCGCAGGCCCGCCCACCCCCCAGCCCTGTGGGCCCCGTCACTCACTGTCCATGCAGGAGACTCCGGCCGAGGCGCGCCCAGCGCCATGGGAACAGTGCACTGGCCCGTGCCTCTGGCACTGCTGCAGGGCCAGCTCCGAGCCCGAGCAGTGCACCCCACTCATCACCACCTCGCCGGCCCCCGGCGTCCCCTGCCAGTACCAGGTGTCCTAAGGAAACAGCCCGCAGCACTGGTCAAGGGGAGTGGTACCTCTGGGGCCACCGCCTCTGACTCCCAACGGAGGTCCAGCACCTGCACATCTTGCATGACGGGAGCCCACACCCCAGGACAGTCCCTGCCACGTTTGGACCCCTCAGGTATTAGAAATGGCTTCATGGCTGGGTGCAGTGGCTCAGCCTGTCATCCCAGCACTTTGAGAGGCCGAGGCGAGAGCATTGCCTGAGCCCGCGGGTTTGAGACCAGCCCGGGCAACTTGGTGAGACCTCATCTCTACAATAAATAAAAAATAGATAATTATACACCTGTAGTTCCAGCTACTTGGAAGGCTGAGGTAGAAGGATTGCCTGAGCCCAGCAGGTTGACCCTGGGGTGGCCATGAGTATGCCACTGCACTGCAGCCTGGGTGATGGAGTGAGACTCCGACTCAAAAATAAAAAAATAAAATAAAATATTTAAATCTAGGCCGGGCGCAGTGGCTAAGCCTGTCATCCCAGCACTTTGGGAGGCCAAGGCAAGAGGACTGCCTGAGCCCGCGGGTTTGAGACCAGCCCGGGCAACTTGGTGAGACCTCGTCTCTATAATAAATCAAAAATTAGCCGGGTGTGGTAGCGTGTGCCTGTAGTTTTGGCTACTTGGAAGGCTGAGGCAGAAGGCTCGCCGGAGCCCAGCAGGTCGATGCTGGGGTGGCTGTGAGCGTGTGTGCCACTGCGCACCAGCCTGGGCGATGCAGTGAGACACCGACTCAAAAAAAAAGAAAAGAAAAAAGAAATGGTTTCGTGTGTGGCGGAAAAATCTCCTGCCTGTGGCTTCCACCCATGGCCGTGCACTCATCCCACTCCCGGGTGACAGCCTCCACTCTTGAAGATGACGTCCGCCTCCCCCCCCGGCAGCCGCCCCCAGCCCGGGTGGCGTGCCCCATTTCCCCAGCTGCTCCTCAAACAGCCCGGGCACCCGAGCCCGGTCCCAGTGTGGGTGCAGCTGCAGTGCCTTCTCTGTGCAGCCACGCTGGGCTCTCTTGTCTTGCTCTCTCTTCACCCTGCTGATTTCCCCTGGACTGCCTGCCACTGTTCTGGTGCAGGCCTGTGTCCTTTCTCACCGGGGCGGCGACCGCGGCCTCATGCATGTGTTCCCCTGCATTCATTCCCTCCACCCCAACTATTTCCCAAACAATCTTCTCCATGTCTGGGCTGCGAGTTCTGAGTGGTCCCGCCCTGACCCCCTCCACCCTTTGCGCTCCAGACCTCTCCCCCTGGAGCCACCACTTCAGCCTCTGGCCCTGAGTTCCCCAACTGGACCGAGGGTCTTTCTCTGCCGCACGGCCTTTGCATGAGTGGCTGATTCATCCCCAGTGTGTCTGGCTAACTTCTGTTCAATTCTCTCTCCTGCAGACACAACCGTGTGCCTGGCTGTGTGGACATTTTACTAGTGACGGCCTCCTCTGCTTGGCGAATGCTCTCGGGGCAGGGACTGCCCGGCTCGCCACGCCAGCCTGGCGCCCGGCATGACCTCAGCCCGTGGTTTTGCTCAGTGAGTTGCAGAATGAATGGAGGGGCAGCAGCTTTTGCCCAGGAGGTTTGGGCCCTCTCCATCCAGGAGGTGGGAAAGAGGCAGGGAAGGGGCAGAGGGGGGACCTACCTTGATGGCGTGGTTGGCAAAGCCCAGGCCGAGCTGTCGGCAGGCCACCATGGCTTCGGGGAGGCCCCAGTGGTCGCTGCACACGCTCCCCCAGTGCCGGACCCCGTTCACCTCCACCTCCACCTCCACCACGCCCTCCTCGGGGCTGCGTCCCCCAGCCAGGCGCACCTGCCATGGGTGAGGGGCGCGTGAGGGGTGGACGGCCCCGGGTCGCCGCCGTGGCCTAGACGGGGCATCTTCTTTCTGCCACAGCCTGCCTGCCAAGCGGGGACCAGTCCTGGTCTCTGCTGTCCCAAGCGCCTGGGTAGGGGCTTCTCTGGGGTTGGCCCCTGACCCGAAGTCCCATGCCGGGCAGCCTGCTGTTTGCAAAGGGTTTTCTTGTCCCTCACCTCATCCCCGACACCCCTGGGAGCGCGCCATCCCCGCTTTAGAGACGCCTGCGACTCGCCCACGGTCCCGCTGGCACTGACCCTTGGACCTCAGCGCCCTCACAGCCTCTCCAGGGCCACCCAGTGCTGACAGCCCTGCAGCCTTCTGACATCTTGGGGATGGGGGGCAGGGCCGAGTGAGTCTCAGCGGAGGGTGTTCCAGGCTGGCTCTGGGGAAGGAGGGCTCCGAGACCCCCTCCCGCCGGCTCGATGGAGTATTCTGGGGGCCCCAGGGCGTCCCAGCCCGCCCGCGGAGGCCGTGCTCAGACCTGAACTCACCTGACCCCGAAAGCCCATGTCGGGGACATGGCACCTCACGGCGGCATCGTTCTCATGCTGACACCCATTCTGGGCCCCTTCCAGGGCGGGGCAGTCCCCAAGGGTCCGCTCGTACCCCCGGCAGCGCACCTCACTCAAGTGGATGGGCCCCAGCCCTGCGGGGGAGAGCGCCGTGGGGGGGGTCTCTCCCGGCCGCCCGCTTTCTGTCCCGGGCCTTGCCCATGCTGGGACCTCCGCAGATGGACCCCGTGGTCCTCTCGCCCACCCCAGACTCCTTGCTCACCTTGGCCCAGCTGGGCCCCGAAGAGGGCCTCCCGCGCAGACCCGAAGCCGAGCTGTCGGCACACGACGCTGGCAGAGACGAGGTTCCACCGGCGGTCGCACACCGTGCCCCACTGGTGGTTCACGAGCACTTCCACGCGGCCCTCGCCTACCTGGGCCCCAGAGCGCAGGCGCACCCTCGGCTCCTGCAGGGGAGACCGTCTCAGGGAGGCCGAGTGGGAGGCAGCCGGCTGGAGCTGAGCCCTGCAGCGGGCACCGGGGCCGGGCCCATCAGACTCTGGCAGTGGCCCTGTCCGGCCTCTGACCTTCGCTGCGGTCACCCCGAGCAAGCCGTGCCTCTTGGCCTCTGCCTCCGCAGCAACAAAGCACCTTCATGGCCTCCGGGAGGCCCGTCAGGTGACGCTTAGGCGTCCTTACCCTTACGGGCACTGGCTCTCTGATGTTCACACCAGGAGGGCTCCGCGCCCTCCACGGCTGCAGCGGGGCCTGGTGACTGTCCCGCTGGCTGCGTTCTAGTCCGGGCACGTGACCCCAGTTTTCCACTTGGGGGGTGATGTGATCCCTCCTGAACAAATGCCACTCCCCCACTCTGTGATTGGCTCTCGGCGCCCAGTCTGCCTGCCCTCCTCTCCTGCCTGGCCCGAAGCCCACCCTGCCACGCGGATCCTGCCAGGAGGGGCCTGTGCCCTGGAGGGGGTGCAGGAGGGACCCCGGCTCACCTCTGCCCCTGACTCCTTGCGGCGCGGCTTCACCTTGTGCGGGCGGAAGCGAGGCCCCGCCACACAGCTGACCACGGCGTGCATGCCCCCCGGGCAGGCCGGCTTGAGCTTGCCCTGGGCGGGGGCCACTTGCACCTGGCAGCTGGCCAGGTGGGGCTCTGTCCCCAGGCAGGTGACCCGGTGGATCCAGAAGGAGTTCTTGACGGTCAGGCTCTTCAGCCTGGAGGACAAGGGAGACTGAGGGTAGAGCAGGGGCTGGAGGGCGAGCTTGGAGATTGCGGGGGGGAGATGGGGAGGGGACGTGGGGACCATCATGCCGTGCCCCTGCGTGCCACCCCTCACCTGGACTTGGAGTCCTTCAGCTTCAGATCCCAGACTTTCCTGTGAGGGAGAAGACAGATGGGCGGTGGAGGGGAGCACGCATCCCATCCCCGCCACCTGGGTCCTCACGGCCGTCCTTCAGCTGGCACCGGACTTTACAGTTTGTAAGCATGTTTGCAAATCTTATTTCAATGTCCAGTGTCACAGCAGCCCCATGGGCACCGGCTGTCAACACTCACTACCGAGGGGCTGGGCTGGGACAATCCACGGCGACATGCCCCCCTGGTCCTGAAGGGGCATCTCTTGGGGCTGGGCTTAGGCTTGCCCTCCTGGGTATGGCTGGAGGGGAGTCTTGCCAGCATGCCCGGGAGAAGGGGCCTAGGGAAAGGGTCCTCTGGGGACAGGGGAAGGTGGAGACCTTGCTGGCGGGAGTGACCCGCCGAGACACCCAGGTGTAGCCAGGTCTCCCTCCGCAGGGGTGGCCGGTGAGTCTGCAGGACCTAGATGGGCAGTCGCCAGGCAAGCAGTCAGGCCCACACCCAGGGTCCCCAAGAATGGAGTCATGTGGGGACCCCACCTCCTTCTTCAGCACTGGGTCATCTAAGTCAGAGCCACTGGACAGAGTCGCCGGGGCCTTCTGACCCCCTGAGGGACGCAGGGCTAAAACGTGGGGTGGCGAGGCAGACGACCAGACACACCCTGGGGGATTTCTCCCTGGCACGGAGGGGGCAGGATTGTGTCTGTGGCTGCCGTGGACACGGCAATATGGCGACTAACGTCACGTTTCTGACCAGAGATTTTGACGCCAAATCCAGCTCTGCCCACACCTGCTCACACATGACCCGGCTGCAGCCAGGCCGGGGCGAGAGCTGGGGACACCGAGGGGCTGGGTTGGGACAATCCACGGCAGACGGACATTCAGGCCCAGGTGCCCACCAGAGGCCCGCAGCCGAGCACCGGAGCTGAGGCCAGAGCCAGCTGGCCTTACGCTGTGCTTGTGGGGTCTGGGGTCTGCAGGAGAATCTGGTTTCAAATCCGGGACACAGCGTTTTATGTTCAGCGGTTTAAATCATGGGACATCTGAGCCGTTGTTCTAAGACTGGCGAGTGTTCCCTTTCTGACCGTTTCTAGGTCTTTTCTGGATCCTCCACCCTCACTCACTTTCTCCTGTGTTATTCTGAGGGGACCCAGGCACAAGCCACACTCGGGCCTGTCCCCCCAGTCCCAGCGCCGTGGACTGTCCTGCCACAGACACCACAGCCAGTTGGTCCCACCGGTCCACACGGAGCTCCTCAGGGTCCCACATGCCACACACACACACTCGCACCCACACCTCATGCTCACGCATCTCACACGAGCACACGTGTGCACGATCATGCACACATAAACACATAAACCCATGCACACACACACACACCCCATCCTACACCCGCACACGTGTGTGCTCACACATGATACACTCGCACACGTGCACACTCACGTTTCACACAAGCACACAGATACACACTCACGCTCAAGCACACCCCGCATCACACATGCTCGCAAGCACACGCTCGCATCACGCAACATCACAGGCACACATCACATATTTGGGCACGCCCACACACACCCTCACAGCTCACACCCATGCACACCCCGCCTCACACCTGCTCGCACACGCTCACACATCGTGCACATACTGCCTGCAGGCACACGTCACACACTCGCGTGCTCGCACTCACACCCCCTCCCATCACACACGCTCACAGGCCCTCACACACACACACACGTACACATCACACGCACACATGCACACACGCATGCACTCAGCCAGCCCCACAGCCCCGCCTCCCGGGCCCGGCCGCTCCGCGCCTACCTGTAGTAGTAACTCTGGACGGGCGTCTCGCTGGGGAAGCCCAGCATCCCGCACACCACCCGGCTGTTGTTCATGGTCCAGCCCTGGTCACACACCTGCCGCCAGTGGCCGTCGTACCTCACCTCCACGGCGCCCTCGGTCACCGGGCTGCGCCGCTTGGCGCTGGCGAGGATGGGCTTGAGCCGCACCTCCTCCAGCTGCCGGCCCTGCGGGGGCACCGTCACCAGGACCCTCAGAGGCCAGCCCTCCGCCCCCGTGGGACAGGCTAGGACGCCGAGGCCCGGGGCAGCGGCGGCGTCCAAGGCCGCGAGGTGAGAGCCCCGTCTGTCGAGGCCCTGTCCCTCGAGTCCTCACATCTGTCAGGCTGGGGAGGAGGCAGGTCGGGCCTTCCCTGAGACCCGGATGGGCGGCTGGGACATGGGGGCTTTGGAGGGGCACGGAGGGCCGAGGGGACACAGGCCAGCTGCTGTGGCTCACAAGACCCTCCCCCTAGCCCGGGGGTGGCCTAGGCCAGCAGGGGATCCCCCATCACAACCTGCCGAGCTCTGCCTGGAGCCAGCTGTGCCAGGGCAGGAGAAGGTGGGAGGGTGGGGGCCGGTGCCCGCCCTCTCGCTCCTGTTGTTTGGCTTGGGCTGTTTTTAGCTCAGGGTTGTTTGTGCCGGGAAGAGGCAGCAATTGTGGCCGGGCCTCGCAGGCACCTCCGGGCTCTGCCGCCTCCCGGTGGAAGCAGCTTCAGTGAGTCCAGCAGGCCCGGTTTCCAGCCCACGCCTGCCGGGCCACCCCAGGGCTCCCTCTGCCTCCTCACCTGGGGCCCCAGGGCATTGGAGACCCTCTCAGAAAGGTAGCCTCGGTGGCGCTGGGGGTGGCACACCACCCCGACGTCTTCCGAGTGGCTGCAGTCGCTGACACCCCAGCCGTTGGAGCTGCACTGATCCAGGGTGTTCTCGGTGCCCACACAGCGCACGTTGTCCAGCCAGATGGGCCCTGGGGGGGGAGAGGAGTGGCACTCAGGGGTGGCAGAGGCAGGTGGCAGAGGCAGGTGACAGCTCTGCCTCCTGGGAGGAGCCCACATCCATCACGTCTCTTCCAACCCGGAGTAGAAGGTGGGGGGAGCAGGGGGACCAGTTTCCCTGGGGTCTCAGCACCCACAACCCTGCCTGCTGCCTCCTTTGGGCCTCGGGTCTCGTGGAGTCTGATTTGGGGGAGCGCCAGGTAGGCGGAGTGAGTAGATCTACCTGATCACCATGCATGCATTCAGTATCTGCTGAGCCCGCCTCACGCCCACGGCTGTGTGCAAGGAACTCAGAGCGCAGGGCTGATGGCGGTGGCCTCATCACAAGAGAGTGGAGCAGGAAGCAGGGCCATTGGCCGCAGGGAAACTCGGAGGGGCCTCGCGGAGGAGGTCACGCGGGCTGGGTGTTAAAGGGCAGTGGCCCCGAGGTCTCCGGACCGTCCCGTGTCACTCACCCTCGCCTTGGCCGTACTTGGCGCTGTGGGCCCAGGTCAAGGCCCCCTCGAAGCCCAGCTGGCGGCAGGCCACCGTGGCCTCCTGGAGGCCGAAGTCGTCGTCGCACA